CACTGCAAAAGGTTGAGGACTGGACTTTCTGGGGCCCATAGAGCAGTCAGTATGTTTTCAGCAAAGAGTCTGAAGTGTCTGCTGTACTCCAGGCTCAGGGGTGGTTGGGTTGGGGTGGTATAGTGAGGGTGAATGGGCTGGCTGGTCTTCGGGGATCCTGTGAGGAGATGGGTGTCAGGAAGTCAGCCAGTCAGCCGATGGCACGGGAAGGCACTGTGGCTTGCAAGTGCTGGAAAGAAATCCCAGGTTGGGTGGGGCCAGGAATGCTAGTGGGACTCCCAGGGCTGAGCCAGGCTGCAGGGGAGGGGTTTCAAGGGACTTTTGCTCTCTCCCGCCTCTTCCAGGTGGGGAAAGATAGCACAAGAGACCCCAGCTTGCTCTGGGTGTCTGCCCATCCCTCCGGGCCTCACCTGCAGATCTCTGACCTGGGAGGAGACACCCCACTTTACTGGACAAAGGTCAAGGAAGGGGTGGGGTCAGGTGTGGCCCAGAGGAAACTTGGGACTTGATTTCAGGATGCCTCTTCCCATCTATGTTGCCCCTGTTAGCAGGGCTTGAGTTTAGAAGGTTGGGAGGCCCAAGTCCACACTAAAGCAGTAGGAGAGTTGTTTTAAAAGTCACTTTAAGGTCTGTGTTTCTTTCTGATTGTAAGATGAGAAATTTTGGACTTTCTTTAGAAAAGTATAAAAGAACTGTTACAGGGCAACCCAATGTTGAGTTGTAGAGTTCATTCAGGACATCCTTTCCCCCTTACAGAGCCAGAAACCATCCTGAATTGAGCAATTCACCTCATGCAACCAGGTTTAATCATGTGGAACAGTTAATTCTGTTGATCAAAAAATAGTTATATCCACAGTTTCATCTTGATCAGTCAGATATTAATATTTTGCTTTTTTCCTCAGGGTCCCCCCCCCAACAAGGACTGTTTTGAAAGATGTGAGTGTGAGATTCACAGCTTTGGGGGTATATGTCCAAACTCCAACTATATAATTAGTTCTAATATCTAACAATAAAATGAGGTAGCTCATATAATAAAAGCTAATACTAGATTTAAATTTCATACATCATGAGTATATATAAGCCCTTGGTAAGTTAATTTATTTTTGAACAGTAAATCAACCAACAGTAATTTATTCTCTAGTCACCATCCCTCTCCCCTGCCCCTACCAGTTACCTTTCAACTAAGGAACAGCCATCATTCATTCCAAAGTAGTCACTCAGTAGTGAACTGAATCATTCATTCCAAAGCAGTCATGAAACACTTACTGTGCTTCGGAGCCCAAAAGCCCCTGTTGTGATGGATCTCAAACTTCAGTGAGAGAAGACAGACTAGCTGTATCATAAACTTACAAACAGCACGAAGAATAAGCATATTGCTTACTTTAGGTAATAAACCGATGGCTACCCTTGGTGCTGAAGGAGGGGTTACAGTTTCCATTGTCCCTTGCTTTTCTCAGGGCAGGCCTCCTGAGAGGGGGGTATTTGAGCAGAGCCCTAAGGGCGGGGAGCTGTGCAGACCTACGGGGGAGGGGCAGGCTGGGCAGCAGAGCCGGTGTTGTGCCCAGGCTCAGCAAGGAGTCCATCTGCCTTGTGGAGCAGGTGGTGAGAGAGGAGGAGATACAGGTGACCAAGTGAGGGGCACTGGAATGGGGCCACATAGCTTTTGCTGGGAGCCTCTGGAGGGTTTTGGATGAGGCAGAAGACCTGATTTTGTTAGAAGGGATTCCCACCGTTCTTGTCTTGAGAGCAGACTCAGGGTCCAGGACGAAGCAGGGAGATGGTTAGAGGCTATCTCAGCCCTCTGTGTGAGAGAATGCTTATGGCCCACAAGGCGGCAGTAGAGGTGGAGGCCACCAGTAGTAGGGGTTGGGGCCTTCCTACAAGTAGGAATGAATGACTTAAAGGTAGTAGAGAAAAGAAAGAGAAGGGGCAAAGTTTAATGCCTTACAACTTCAACCACATGGACAGAGGTGGGAGAGAGTCTGGGAGGAGGGCCGGAGCTTGGTTTTGGCCTTGTTCTGCTCACGACGTCAGATACACAGGCGCTGCCAGTCAGCAATTGGATATGTGAGTCTGGAGGGCACAGGAGAAGGCTGGACTGCAAACAGTTGCCACCCTGACACACTGTTCGAGGCAAGGGGTAAGGGCCAGGTACAAGGACTGAGCCCTGGGATTTGCCCAAATTAAGAAGTCAGGAAGGAGAGCCATGTCTGGGGTCCCAAGAAAACCAGAAGAGCTATGCCTTGGAAGCCAAGGGGAGGACGGGTCTTCAGGAGGGAGAGAGTCACCCTTGGCCAGAGGCTGCAGCCTGGACAGGTCACCTGAGAATGGGCCCTGCTGTTGGAGGTCATTGGTGATGTGGGCAAAGAGGTTCTTTGACCAGTACAGGGGAAGACCTGCTAAGACAAATTAGAAAAAGCAGTGTCGTCCATGGTTGGACGAGCAGAGGGTGGCTGCCTGACTTCTGGCTCAGCTCCTTTGTAGGAGGCCCCATCTTGCCATCCATGTTGAACACCAGGGCACAAAAGCTGTTGCTGTGCAGAGCAAGTGACCTTGGGCGTGCCCCAGGTATGTACATGTGCAGGAGCAGTACTGCTGCCAGAGGGCAGCCCACATGTTTCAGGGGATTCCACAAAGGCCCGTCAGAGGAGGCGGGAGTCTGAGAGTCCACCAAGACTGTCCTCAAGGAAGCAGTTCATCTCATCCACGGGAGGGTTATTTCTGTCCTTAAGAGAAGCCGCCAACATTTCCCTGTGAAGCCCAGTTCAACCCGTGACTGTTTGTTGGTCCGGATTTGGTCTGAGCCTGTGGGCTCACTAGAAGTTTCAGTAGGGAGGAGGATATTTTCTCAGGTTATTGAAGCTGTGTTTCTCTCCCCTGGGAGGGGAGGTGGGGAGGGAGGGTGGCTGGCTCTGACTTCTGGACATGAGTAAGCTAACTGAGCTACTTCAAAGGACACGCCCCGTTCCCTGGGGCACAGTCTATAGCTGTTGAGGCACAAAGGGTCCTTGCTCATCTTATCACCTGTATTCCTTTGTTAGTTCCCTTTAATCTCGCATTCCCTTATTTTTTTAATTTTAGAAAACATGTTTATCAAAGAGAGCAATATAAAAGGTGCCTAGAGTAAGGGATGCAGGGCCTCTCCTCTAAATTCCAGATGCTAGCCAAAGGTAAACACTGTCATCTCCTCTGCTGGACATACCCTTTACAGTGCACCACTGCCACTGGCACATCTGGGCAAGCAGTGGCACCACGCTTCCTGACCCATTGCTTGCTCTTCCCCTGAGTGTAACTCGGGCTTCTGCACTTCAGCACAGCCAGGTCCTCTCGGGAGTAGCAGTGGGCCCTATTCAGTGCTCATGTTCCACCACTGTTGATTTAGGTGGTTTCTGTGAACCCCACTGCTTTTGTGTCTCCTGCTTTTGTAAAGATTATAGGATAAGTTTCTGAGGCCAAGGTTAGGGACTCCAAATTTTGAGACATGCTGCTGAATTGACCTTTTGATTTGATATACCTGTTTACCTGCCTACACATCAGAGTACCTGTGGGACTGTCTGTCTCCTTCCGACCGCCATACCCCCCCTACTGGGCATGACCAGGCTTCTGCCAGTCTGGAAGGTAATAAAAGCCGCCTTCCTTTAATTCTGGCTCCTGTCTGCCAAGTTGATTTGGCCGCCCTAGATGCTGCAGTCTCATCCCCCCTCTGGCGGGCACTCCTGCGCCACGGCCTACGGCAGGCCGCCCAGGGACCTGTCCCGAATGCCTGCTGTGGCACCTTAGTGTGTTCTCTAGAACACACAAGGAATTTTCTCTTGCAGCCATGGTTCCACTGACCAGTTATCAACAGGTTTTTGAAGTAGGACATGCTAGTGACCCAGTGTGTGAAAAGCTTCACAAAGCAACATGCCCCTCGTCATGGGCAGCGTACGCTGATGTTTTTTACTTTGTTTTTTTTTTTAAAAATCTAGTCACGAGAACTGGCGTCTCTGTTCTTAGAAAGAGGCTCCTAGGAATGCTGATGGAGCCATCCTGTCTGTAGTTGGAGGTTTCCTGTAACCTTAGAGACATGGAAAACATCCTCTACACACCCGCTTTAGAACAGCCCTTTCGTCCTGGGAGGAGGCCCATGGACGGGTTTTTGAAGGGGAGGCCGTGCTGGAGACCCCAACTTGACCTTCACAGATCTCCAGGGCCTTTTTCCCTTTGGCAGCTGCCAACCTGTGCCCCCATTGTCTGCCACCGTGTGTGAGCCAGCCCTTTCTGGCTTTCTCACTTGCTGGGGCAGGAGAGCAGGGTGGGAACTCTGAAGCAAGGCCTGGGAAGCCCTGCCACCAAGCTTCTGGGGAGGGTCCTTCCTCCACTCTTTGGCCTCCTAACTCTTTTCTTGCATTCGGTTGAGGGGTGGCACTTCTCTAATGATAGCACCTACCCAGCCTAATTAAAGCCTGGGCTGCTTTGTTAATAACTTTAGGAACTGAGAGCCTTTGCCCTGGGCAGTGTTATGGCCCCTGGGTACCTGCAGGGAAGTTTAGCCAAGGGGGGCAAGCGAAAGACTTTGAGGATGGTCCCTGAGGCCCTGCTGGGTGGTGGGCAGTGTAGGATCATCGGGGGACCGCCACATGCAGCTTACACACACACATGCAGCTTACACACACGTACTTCCTGACCTGCTCTCCTGCCCATAGGTTGTGGGATTTTCCACTGCCCAGGAGTCCCAAGTGCCCCTGAAACATGGCACCACTAGGCAGGATGTTGCCATTTTCATTCTGTTGAAACAAATGGCCTTTAGTTAATGCCTTTAAACTTAAAAATACCTTTGGCTCTCCTCTCCATAAAAGCAGTGTCTGTTTGCAATAGAAACTTCAGGAAATACAGAAAAGGGAAAAAAACATCCATGACCCCACCCCAATGACTCATGACCCCAAATGTGTTAACATTTTGGTGGAGGAGTCTCATGACTACTCCCTTTTCTCCGGGCTGACTCATTATATTGTCCCCAGGGAAGTCGCACCTGGCCATCGTGCAGAAGGTGAACAATGAAGGCGAAGGGGACCCCTTCTACGAGGTGCTGGGCCTGGTCACCCTGGAGGACGTCATCGAGGAGATCATCAAGTCCGAGATCCTGGACGAGTCGGATATGTACAGTGAGTGCCTCTCCCTACAGGCCTAGCGCTCCTGCTGCTCACACTGGAAAGTGCCCAGAGCTGGGATGTGGTTGCCTGGCTACTCGAGACCCAGGACCTCGTACTCATGCTGGCCGGGTAGGGGGAGACTGCCCTCCTTCCTCCCAGGGGCCTTTGTGCCATAGCGTCAGCCTGGAGCCATGCCAGGGCTAGACACTGCCGCTCTGTGAGAAGGGACCTCGGAGTTGGTGGCTGGAGGCAGCTTGCATTGTGCTCCTGAGTGCCGGGGTGGGGCGGTGGTGGGGCGAGCAGCGTTCTCAGTTCCACGTTCTGTCTCTTGCAGCTGACAACCGAAGCCGCAAACGGGTGTCAGAAAAGAATAAACGTGACTTCTCAGCTTTCAAGGATGCCGACAACGAACTCAAGGTGAAAATTTCACCTCAGCTGCTTCTGGCTGCACATCGCTTCCTGGCCACAGGTGAGAAAGAGCAAGAGGAGGGACTTCAGATACTGATGGAGTATGTCACAGCGGGAGAAATACTGGGCCTCTCGCTCCTTCCCCCACTGCCAACAGGGCCATGGACTGGAAGGTTTAGGGAGGACGTGACTGCCCCGGAAAGCGCTTTGCCTGCCTCACCCCCTGCGTGCCCACGGCACTTGGCTTTCCCTGTTAAGGGGTTGCCTTGAAAACTCCTAGGAAGCATCCCAGTTAGGTTTGGAAATAGCCACAGAACTGAGGTGGGCACCTAGCCCCAGAGCCCGTCGAGGTTTGCAGATTAAGGGAGAAGGAGGTCATTCCAGGTGCTCAGTGCCCACCACATGCAGCCCCTAGCCCCTGCCTGGCTCATCGGCCCCGAGGCGCCTGGATCCAGACATTCTGTCCCCCTGTTCCCCTACACCAAATGTTGGGTCCTACAGGACTTGACCGCTAGATCCGTGGCATTTTCTCCTCTCACTTTTGATTCAAAATCTCTTGTGTACCTGGATGACTGATTTTAAAAATGCCCCCGCCCGTCCCCACTTGCTAAAGAAGTGATAACTCCTTTCCTTTCCTTTTCCTGCCAGACATTGATGATGACAACAGCAACATTTACCACACACTTTCCACCTGCCTAGAATGTATCTGAGTGCTGTATGTGCGCCCGCACATTTAACCTTACCATGACCCTGTAAGGTTTTTAATCTCCACTTTCTAGATGAGGAAATGGAGACGCAGGTTACTTTGCCTCAAGTTGGGCTTGTTAGAGGAGCCGCCATTCAGCCCGGCGGGCAGGCAGGCTTGGGCCTCACCACTTGGGCACTGAGTGTTCTTTTTCCCAGAAAGGGGTCTGGGCAATGCGGCACCATCCAGGCCCCCATAAAGGCTTCTTCTTGCATTTCTGCAGAGGTGCCCCAGTTCAGCCCCTCTCTGATATCAGAGAAAATCCTGCTTCGGCTGCTTAAGTACCCAGATGTCATTCAGGAACTCAAGTTTGATGAGCACAACAAATATTATGTTCACCATTATCTGTACACCCGAAATAAACCGGCTGACTACTTCATCCTCATCCTGCAGGTGAGCTGTGACCCCAGCCTCTTCCATCCCACCCTCTTACGCTAATGCTCCCCTTCCTCACTGGCCGCCCTTCCTGTGAGAGCCCACCCCGGAGCCCCCACGCAGGGCTGGGCTCTGGAATCAACTCTCATGTGGCTGTAGTCCCAATGTCTTCTCACTTTTCCCTCTGACCTTGTCTTATGTATTTTTCTGTGGTGCTGTACCCCTGATCCTGTGTTCTTTCAGGGGAAGGTAGAGGTGGAGGCCGGGAAGGAAAACATGAAGTTTGAGACAGGTGCCTTCTCCTACTATGGGACCATGGCCTTGTCATCAGCGCCCTCTGGTGAGTCTCTGAACTGTATTCGCCATGTGCCTGTTCCCCATATGCCTAGGGGGGAGAGACCTTGAGTGGCAACTCAGAACCGAGGGCAGCCCAGAGGACATGCAGCCATGGTGACTGGGCAGGGAGGAGACCAGTGGGGGCTGAGCTCCCTCGGCCTGGAGGAGATGGCTTGCAAGGTAGAATGACTTGCCTCTTTGGACAGGATTCAGGGGTGGATGAAAGAGAGGGGAAGGGGACTAGAGTAAAGGTCTAGAGGGAGCTGAAAGCTTTCCTGAGGTGGTGAGGAGAGTAGGCCGCAGAGGAGAAGGAAGTCTCTGGGAGTAAGTGTGGGATGCGCCAGAAAGTCTATGGCATTTGGCTGTGATATGAAGTGGGGCACTGTTAATGGCCTTTGAGCTGTGGAAGTCTGGCAAGCTGGGCAAGCCGCTGCGGCCCTCAGTGGCTCTAAGAGCAGGAACAGAGTTGAGAGGAGGCTATAGCACCTTGCTCTGATGCCTGGGACAGGGGGATCCTGGGGGTAGCATGGGGGGTGCGGGGTCCTGAGTATTCATGGCTGGGACCTGTTTGTCGGGCAGGTTGCAGATAGGTTTGGCTTTTCAGTGGGCTCAGCCACTGCCTTTTGCTTAAGCATCTGTTTTGGTGGAATAAAGGGAGTTGGGAGCAAAGAGGGCCTTGAGGCCCTCCAAGAGGGGTTATGGAAAGTCCAGGGAAAGGAACATTCTGGCCACCCCAGTTTCCTCTGCTTCTCCATGTCCTTCTGCCAGAGGGGCCTTGTGGCTGGAGTTCCTTGTCCCTTTCACACACAACCAACCTTCAGCTGGATAGGAAGCCAGCAGGGCCCAGTCCCACCCAGCTCAGCTCCTCACTAAAAGGGGGCCTCTCCTGGGGCCCCAAGTTGCTGCAGGATGGTGAATGAAAGTCTGCTTTGGTGCCAGGGAAGGGGCCACACACGGGGGTGGGGGCTGTGGTTTCTGGGGATACTTGTGCTGTGCCTGTTGCTGCCCTTTGACAAAGGGGATCTCAGGTCTGAGGGAGGCTAGGACACCCCTGCATTGCAGCATAGTCCACCACATTCATGAACCCTCTTTATGTGAGCCGAGCTTTGCAGGCTCTCAGCTCCTGGAAGGGCAGTAAACTGGGAGACAAGGCTCAGCAGGTGTGCCCCGCGTGGGCCTCTCTGTCCGGCTCGGAGCACCTCTTGTCATCCAGCTGGGAGAACCCCTGCTTGCAAGTCTTTCTTGTAGAGGTTTGGGTCAGGGTCCTGGACCCACAGTTCCTCACTGCCCACCTGGAGTGGCTGGAAGAGGGATGTTGGCTCCATGGGGACTCTGGATTCACTGTAAGAGTTCTACTCTGCCACCTTCCGCCCTTCTCTCACCGGGGCTTGTTGGTCGGCCCTGAGCATGCACCTCATCAAAATCACGTCCTTGTCCCACTGTGCCCCCTCTGTGCCCGAGGGAGCCTGCTCTTCCAACCTGTCCTGTGGCTCTATGTCCCTAGCCGTCACTGACCTTTTCCTCTTTTGCTCCAGTGCCTCCAGCCCAGGTCGGGCATCCGCCTGGCAAGCGGAACTCCCTGCTCTCCTGGCTCTCAGGTAACATGGCATGGCTGGAGGAACTTGCACTCCACCTGCTGCCTGAGCCTGCACATCACAGCTATGCTAACCTCTCCCTGCAGGCATGGGGGCTCCTTACACTCACCTGAGGCGCCCTTCCTGTTCAGTCTCATGGACCAGTCTCATTTGTACTTGACCTAGGGCCCAGTTTCCGGGTGGCTTTCCTTTCCAGGAAGGCTAGAGGGGACACACACGTGAGAAGATACAGGGTTGTTCCAGGGCAGGTGAGCCCAGCTGTCAGCACCCTGGTCAAGTCTACTCTCAGACCCCAGTAGGATGATTTGTTACCCCACCAACTTTCTCTAAAAAACTTGCTATCTTCCTTCAAAGACTCTGTTTTCCATTAAGTTACTGGTAACAGCACCCAGTGTTTTAGTAGATAGTAACAGCGAGGCACTTAGAAGTGTGGCCCAATCATACTGCCCATTGAATGCAGCCTCCACAGTTGCTTGCAAATGATTCCAGGGAGTTAACTTAGCCTCTGTCTTGTTTTCTTCACGTGAAATGGGAATAGTACACATATGTGCTTATTAGAATTGTCGGGACCAGTGGGAGAATTGATATGAAATGTTAACTTAGAGTTCAAGTGTTCTGGATTTCTCTCATGGCAAAAATTCAACATTCTTGTTATGAAGTATCTGGGGAAAGGCAGAATGCCCTGGGCTATTTCTGGTCTTTGATACCTTACATTTCTGAGCTCTGCCCCACAGTTGTTAGGCTAGACTTATTCAGTTTCTACTTTACTGGCCTCATCTAAACCTCGTGAAAACCAAGGCAGCAGAGGATGCCAGAAGGTGCTGGTCTCTTCAGAATTCTGGTCTGGGCGGGTGGTCCTGAGGAGGATAAGAGGATTGCAGGTGTCTTCGAGCTACCTAATTTAGTGCATAACTTTAAAAAGCTCCCAAGGTTCCAACAGTTCTAAAAACCTACTACCTCAGCCACTTATTTTCCATTTTATATGTGTACAAGTTACTGCCAACTTTTGGCTGTGGTAGGAGGTAGGAAGCTCTTGGCGGCCTTCAAGTAGGGGACAGCTGCTGAGAGTACAGTGGACTACACTGGCCCTGACAGGCCCATCGCTCAGCCTCCGTCTCGTCCTCCCTGCACTCGCTCTTGTTAGATAGGCCAGATGCTTTTGCCTAGTAGGGGGACAGAGAAGCTTTTCATAAGCTTTCTTGTGAGAGCCACACAGGGTCCCACCAAGCATGTGTGCTTCACATGTTACCCCTGCCCTACTGAAGCACATTTATATATATGGGGTGGCAGTTTGTACTCTGTATTTTAAATAACACTAGGATGTAGACCTCTTTCTACCAAAAACTATCTGTTTAACTATGTCCTTAGAGTATTTTTTCAGAAAAGGAATTGAGTCCAAAACCACTATTTTTGGGGTTACATTTATTGTCTTGTTTTAATCACAGAGGTAATATAGCCTATTCAGAAAATTGGAAAAATAGGCTGAAAATACTTAACCTCATTATTTAACTCTTTCATTATTCAGAAACATGCATTTCATATTTTGGTTTATTTCTTTCTAGGACCTCTGTTTTTTTTTTTTTTTTTTTTTTTTTTAAGATTTATTTATTTATTCGTACAGAACTGGGGTACAGTCTAGAGATGCGGAGGGTGAGAGGATTCACCAGAGACAGAGCAGGGAGCAGAACAGGCAGGTCGACGAAGTACACTGCTGAGGGGAGCAGCGGGCGGGTCAGGAGAGGTCTGCCTCGCCATGTGGTCACCTCCAGGGCAGGCGGGAATCGAACTCATGTGGAAGCGGCTTTAGATTCTCAGTGCAGCGCTTTAACCCGCTGCGCCACCAGGGAGGGCCCTAGGACCTCTGTTTTTAATAGACCATATCACTAATTTGTGTTGGTTTTAAATTCAGTGCCTGTTAACAAAGCATTAATTAAAAGCATTCCGTCATTCAAAGAATTCATGTGAAATATTAAGCAATATTCCCGGCATTTCTGTTTTTTTCCTAAAAGAGGTGTTATTTAAGTTAGAGTAAGTGATTTTTTTGCTCTTGACCCTCAAAGGATTGCACACTGCCCAATCTTGGAAAACAGCTACACTGTATTTTCTTAGTTTTGTGAATGAAGCCTGAAGATAGTCATTCAGTTCATTCAGTTAAGCTGTGCTAGTCATTCAGTTGGTGGATATCAAATGTTTGCACATCTCACCTGACTTATTTGTTAGAATAACTAACTTTGTAGTTAATTTAGTAGTTATGAAGCGAATCAGCTTACTGCACTTCTGATTTGTTTAAATCAAGGCCGCATGCCTTCACAATTAACTTTATGCATTTCATTGTTTTTTCAAGTGTTCTCAAAAATAAGAGTTTATGATGTACAATAATGTGTGTAGTTCCTGTTGCAAAATGAGGGGCTGATACCTTCCTCATTTGGGTGGAGGGGTTCCCTTTTCCTGGCCACCACCCACGGAAAGGAGGTCTGTGCTGCCCCTAGTGGTGGGGAGAGGCATCTGCACCAATACCCGTGGGAGTGCGTCTGGAATTGGCCCAGGGCTACTGCCTAGAGAGGGAAACCTGGAGCTCTAGGGCCTCTGCTTCCTGTGGGAGGGACCTAGCACCCCCCTCCCCGTGCCAGGCATGTTGGGGATTCTGCAGACACAGTGAGTAGGGTTGTTTCACAAAGAGCAGGTCTTGTACAGAACATGCTTTTAACCTAAGGGCATTCTAAGGTATGTATGAACAGTGTCATGTTAAAGAGGGTCTGTGTATGCGCAGTGAGATTGCAAACTATCTACTCTTCCTCCTAATGTAATTTGAAAGTGTGCAGTTTATGTCCCTTGACGTAAGTTGTTATTGGACAAGGATGGCAGCTGGTCTGCCATGGTAGGCACCCACTGTGCTGTCCTTGACCCATGGTTGGTGGGGGAGGGGATGTTTTGTAGCCATAAACGTTGTGTCTGATTTCTGTTTGCTGTTTTGCCTGTTTGTTCCTATAGGCTTTTAAATACTTACTGCACAGTATTTCTTCTAAATAAACTAACTCCTTTGCTTTGGTGAGATCAGACCTTCTGTATTTAGGGCTTCTGTTTGTCCTTAAGAACTACTTCCTGTTCCTGGTGGGGCACCACTTCCTGGGCATCTGTGGGACAAGGTTAAACAAGAGGCCAAGAATAGGCACCAGGGTGGCTTCTGGTCTTACCGCCCCCCTCTCCCCACAGACCGCTCCCCGCCCCACACTACCACCCTCAGTCGCTCAGCTTCCCTCAGTTACCCAGATCGCACGGATATCTTCGGCACAGCTCCCTTGGCGGGCAGCAGCAACCAGTTTGGGAGCTCCATCGTGGGCCAGTACATCTCGGACTTCAGTGTCCGGGCACTCATGGACCTCCAGTACATTAAGGTGAGTGTGTCCCATGGCCCTCTGTTTGGGCGACACTGTCTTCCTTGTCTGAGGCACTTGGGCCACTCTGACTGAGCCCAGCATGGAGTACCCTCGTGTCTGTCCTCTTGCTCTTCATTCTGCATATGGGCTTCTCCAGGTTCCACCTGGTCATGCCCTCTCTTCTGAATTAACAGTCTTAGCCCCGGCCCGGCCCTGTTTCCTGGCTCTTGAGGCAGGGTTTACCTCCCAGGCCCTGCTCTCAGAATCTTACCCCTTCCCCTGCAGATCACCCGGCAGCAGTACCAGAATGGGCTGCTGGCCTCACGCATGGAGAACTGCCCTCAGTTTCCTCTGGATGGGTGCACCATCTGCACAGACAACTTAGCCGAGAAGTCCGAGCTGCCTGTGGTGGATGAGACCACAACTCTCCTCAACGAGCGCAACTCTTTGCTGCACAAAGCCTCCCACGAGAGTACCATCTGACAGGAGGGCCCGGGGTCCCCCGCCATTCCCGCGGGGGCCTCCCCAGTGGGCCCACATGAAGATAGGGAGCCTGTTAGGCCAGAAGGGGTACAGATAACTTGTCTAACCGAGAAGCCAGATGGCCCCCAGCCTGTGGGGGAGCTGGCCTCTGACAGGGACCTCTGAACAGCTCAGAGGTAGTGGCTGCCCAGCCCTGGGCTGACTGGCAGGGCGGTGGACCGGCTACCACGAGCTAGTCTGTTTTTTACTGAAAGAATTTCTAAACTTAGGCGCATTGCTCCTCTTTTTTAAATATCATTTGGGGAAGGGAATGGGGATGGGAACACAGGGTTAAGGAATTTTATTTAGAAAAAAAATTTTTTCCCCTAAAACTTTAAAAGGGGTAGGCTTTCTCACCCCAGGAAGCAATAGCCATAATGTGCTCCTAGCCTTGACCTCTGGTTTATGTCCCTGACTCAGGGAGCCCGTTCTTCCTCTCCCTCCTCCAGAGAAGGAGGGTTTTCTCTTGGGAGGAAGACAGTTCTTCCCAGGAAGTAAAGAACCAAATAGCTCTCAGAATAACGCCTGGACACCTGCACTGAAGCTGGTCTGATGTTGCCGAGGCCAAGGGATTCTGGGTAACTGATCAGGGATATGCTACGGAGAGGAGCACATCTACTCGTTGTCAATCGCTGGATCCAGAAATTTCCTAGAACTCTGCTGATGGGCTCTCCTGGTGAGTTGGGGCGAGGCTGAGGACTGTCTCCCCTACCCCCATTGGTTGCCTCCTACTGCTCCTTTGGACAACTCTGCCCTTACAGTGGGGCTTCAAGTGTTAGGCAGGGTCTCAAACCTTTATGACTGCTCGCCCCTGCTCCCTCAGCCCTGCCCTCACCTTTGCTAAAGGTTTCCCCCTTGATGGGAGAGCATCTATGTTACAGGTGATTTGTCTGGGATGTTCCTTGTGGTTCCAGGAGGGAATCTGCCCCTTTGCACCCTACAACAGAAGTCATGCCACTGATCTATGAAGCCCTTCTTTCCAGACTCTCTACTTCCAGTTCCAAAACCCCCATGATTCTTGGGGACTGAGGACGAGACGACATGTTGGAAGCCAACCCAAGCAGGTTCTTCATGCCTTTTACTTGGTGGCTGAGGCTTACCTGACTTTGTTCACACACTTAAGGAAGCCAGGAAAGCAGATGTCCCACCTAAAAGACACTACTGGCTGTCCCATTTCCCCCATGTCTTTGTAATCCTAGTGTGAAGTGTCATCTTGGCTTTGCCAAAGTGGCACTGGACCTAAGAGTTCCACCCTCAGATGAAATCCTGCCACATCACCTTTCCTTGGGGTGATAGGCCTTGGTGCAGAGCTCCAGGATTCCTGCTAGTGGGAAGGCTGTGGGACCAAGCAGTGTTGGCCCTTTTGTCGGGTAGAACAGGACCTGGGGCCCAAGATGCAGGTAAGGGAGACTGTAGGCCTCTGCCTGAAGATTTTTTATTCACTCCTTTCCTCAACCTGTGGAGTTCTGTCACCCCAAGCGTTCTGCTTTTTAGGTGCCTAGAGAATCCTAACTCTTAGATTCTTGTCTTGCACCAAGTACGCCTGTCCCTGACCAGTTGAAGTCTTCCCCAGTCACAGAATTTATTCCGTAAAGTCTGGAGAGAGGGTGGTGACATCCATGGCTTCTTAGCCAAAAGGAAAGAAGACCACGCCTTTGTCCCCTGTTGGGGGAAACCCTTAGTTTTCTCCAGGAGCAGCTTGCTTTCTGAGTCTACAAGGGAGCTCACGAAGCTGTATTCCTGAGGGACCCGAGGGCCAGGTGGAGCAAACCGCATTGGCCTGACCCACGTGAGTGTGTGTGAAGTACAGGGAGCAGGCGCACACTCCACAGCTACCTCTGCACACACGGTTACTACCAATAGATGGTCTCCCCACTTTTTTTCCTCCCCTTCTCCATTTATAATCACTTCTTGCAGAGGGTCATAATTATTTCCAAATATTACTGGTTCGATAACTTCCTCCTCCCAGTGCAATTTTTCACTTCCTATTCCAACCTCTGGTTCCTGGGCTAGGCCATACCTTGGAACTGGCCATCCCTGCAGGTCTTCCCATGTAAGGGAATCTTTGCAACTGGCCTCCAAAGAGGTAGGCAAGCCACAGCCACCATAGTAAATAACTCATATTTATTTTGCATAAGATTTTAATTTGTATATTTTTGTGATTTATTTTGGCATTGTTATAAGTTTGACTCTCGGGGAGTTTTGTTGTTATGACTCTTGTGTCTTTTGTCACAAAACAATGATATTTGCTAAACAATATATGGAATTTATTTTTGATTGGTAATAAAAAATGAAATATGTATAAATCTTGGCGAGTCTACAATTTGCCTGTCTGAATTTTGTGAATAATTGGTAATTGTCATGGAGCTAGAAGTGGCTCACTGTCATCTGTTACAGGGCAAAGGCAAGTGTTCTGGGACTGTTTGGAAGCAAAAATGTAATGCTTTCTCCAAAGAATTTAATACCAGATAGTAAAGTAGGGATATGTATTTTCTCTCACCTCCACCCTAGAATAGCACCTACACTGAAGGCACTCTATGTGGAAAATTCATGTTGAATGCGTAAATGATCTTGTAGTAAGGTCCATATGGATGCGGTAGGGGGAGCATGTACATTCTCTAACACTGACTCGGCCTAAGCAAGATGGTCAGGGAAGACTAGCTGGAAGAAGAGCGTTTGCAGGTGAGAGATAGGCAGGAATTAGCAGAAAGTCACTCCTTGAGCAGCTTTGTTTGCCCTGCGCTGGACTCTTTGTATCTTTGGGTACTGATTTGTGTTTTTCACGAGCGATCCAATTCTTTTGTCCAAAGTTTTCCCAAGAAAGCTATAGGTTGTTTTCCAAGAGAGCCTTGAGTCTGAGGACAAAATAGTGTGAAAGATTGAGTGCCTTACAAAAATCCACAAGGAGTTTTTCCTGTCTAACCTTTGCAACTGGTTCTTGCTGTTAATACTTTGTCAGACATGACTAACTTCAAACCCGACTCGTATTTTATCTAGTCTTGAAGACAGAAGCGTGCACTAAGAGGACGGAATTCTTTTTTTTCTTCAAAGGAGGCATGCTGACCTAGTGGAAAGGCTCTGTCATGTCACTGCTTTTGCTGGTGGCTAAAACTGCAAGTGGGGCAAGCTACTCAGTGCATGGCATCATCTCCATAATAAAAGATGGAAAGAAGGAGATGTGAGTGGCCTAGTCATGCTGCTGAGTTTGTAATGTAGAACACCACTGCCATTCTCTTAAGAAATTTCCATAGCTTTTCTTTAGGTCTTTCCCAGAGGATTATTCATTTTTGTACATTACCTTCCACACAAACACTTCACTGTGGCCACAATGCCTATATTCCCCATTTCATGACACAGCAGATGTGTTTCTGTAGCAGCCTTCTAAAGATCATTTAAAATGACATGTATGTAAACAGTCATACCAAATGGTCCACTCAGAAAATCTGAAAATACGTAAAAATAGTAAACACAAAAACCAACCTGGGCACTGGTAGAGAGGGCTTGTCACTGGTAGAGTCTATTTTGACATAGGTAATAATGTCTGACATCTATTATGGGCGAGGCCCATTCCATACAGTCAGTGGGCCATACTGTGTTGTAACTCTCTAGCAAGAATCCTCTTGAACAGTTTCCCCAAGGACTATCCGGACGCGGAGGCTGCTGATCCAGTAATTCCGACAGAGTTGTCCTCTCCTAATATGGAGATGGTGACTAGGGTACTCGGCAGGTAGCGTTGGAACCCACATCCCTGCCCAGTCACGCTTCACTTTTCTCCTGTAAAATATTAATAGCATGCAGTCGCTGTGAGGCTCCAACGAGGTAGTCATTTCCTGCTTTCAGATTTACCACAGTTCTGGCAAGAAGGCAAGTTCCTTGAAGGCAGACCTAAAGCAGAGTTACGTGCCCAGACCTAAAGCAGAGTTCTCCCAAACCATCTTCAATACTTCAGGTTACTGACACCCCGTCGCCAGCTTATCTTTCGGTCCTCCTTGCCCTTCAAGTCAGGGAGCAAAACATCTTTTTGGATTAGGGGCCATTTCCTAAGACGACGGCACCTCTCCCAGACCGTGAAATTCGGGAGCGCCTGACCCCGCGCCCCGGTCCCGACGCGGGGACTTCAAGGAGCACAGCCTGGCCTGCCGACGCGAGGGGCCGGCCTGCGGGAACGAGACGTCGCAGGCCCGCGCCCTCCCACTGCCGGCCGCCCCGACCTTGGGAGCCCCGGGAGCCCGGCCGAGCCCCGCGGGGTTAAACGCCCCACGCCCCCGGCCCGCCCCGAGATCGCGCCGCCGCTTGTTTACTCCCCGGCGCAGCCTAGTACGACCCTGGGGCCCGCCCTCACCCTCCAACTATTGGCGGAGGAGGCGCCACGGCCGGCGACGATTGGCCCGGGGGAGGCGGAGGGGTAGGCTGCGCGGGAGGCCTAGAGGGGCAGCCGGCGATGGCGGCGGCGGGTCGGCTAAGGTGGTTGCTCGCTGCGCTTTGCCTGGGCAACGCCGCTGGGGAGGCGGCGCCGGGGCCGCGAGTGCTGGGCGTCTGTCTGGAGGAGGACGGAGCTGCGGACTCCGGGTGGGCGCGCGGAGGGGAGGTGCGGGACGCGCAGGCGGAGGCCACCTTCCGCCTGCGCCTCTTCGGCTCCGGCTTCACCAACAGCTCCTGGGCTTGGGTGGCCCCCGAGGGGGCGGGCTGCCCCGAGGGCGGGCCGGCCGCGGCGCCGGAGGAGGTGGCGGCCCCCACGGGCGAGTGGCGCGCGTTACTGCGCTTGCGCGCCGAGGCCGAGCGCCAGGACTCGGCTCTGCTGGCGGTGCTCGTGGAGCCTGGCGGCTCGGCGTCGGAGGAGGCGGTGCCGCCCTGGGCACTAGGCCTGGGGGCCGCGGCGCTGCTGGCTTTGGCGGCGCTGGCGCGGGGCCTGCAGTTGAGCGCGCTGGCGCTGGTGCCGGCCGAGGTGCAGGTGCTGCGCGAGAACGGCTCGGAGGCGGAGCGTGCGACGGCGCGGCGGCTGGAGCCCGCGCGGCGCTGGGCGGGCTGCGCCCTGGGCGCACTGCTGCTGCTGGCCAGCCTGGCGCAGGCGGCGCTGGTGGTGCTGCTCTACCGCGCAGCCGGGCAGCGCACCGTGCCCGCCGTGCTGGGCAGCGCGGGGCTTGTGTTCCTGGTGGGCGAGGTGGTGCCGGCCGCCGTGAGTGGGCGCTGGGCGCTGGCTTTGGCGCCGCGCGCGCTGGTCCTTAGCCGTTTGGCGGTGCTGCTCACCCTGCCCGTGGCGCTGCCGGTGGGGCAGCTGCTGGAGCTGGCGGCTCGGCCGGGTCGGCTGCGCGAGCGCGTGTTGGAGCTTGCGCGCGGCGGCGCCGACCCCTACAGCGATCTCAGCAAGGGCGTGCTGCGCTGCCGGACGGTGGAGGACGTCCTCACGCCTCTCGAGGACTGCTTCATGCTGGACGCCGGCGCAGTGCTGGACTTCGGCGTCTTGGCCAGCATCATGCAGAGCGGCCACACGCGCATCCCTGTGTATGAGGAGGAGCGCTCCAACATCGTGGACATGCTCTATCTCAAGGACTTGGCCTTCGTTGACCCTGAAGACTGCACGCCGCTCAGCACCATCACCCGCTTCTACAACCACCCACTCCACTTCGTTTTCAACGACACCAAGTTGGACGCGGTCCTGGAGGAGTTCAAGCGAGGTAACGGCTTGGAATTAAATTAGGGAGGATACTCGAATGCCAGCGGGTCCTCCACGCCCTCCAGAAAAGGGTGGGGACTTACCGAAGCCTCGAGGGAGGAGAGGGTCCCACAAGGGCAGTGAGACCTCAAGGTGTCTGTGAAAGATGATGGCTTTGAAGCTGTGAATGAACTGTGTTCCGAAGGTGACAAGAGTGCTATAAACAGCAGCCCCACGTTTCCGGGTAGCCCCCTAATTTGAGCCCACTTGAGTAATTCCTGGTCCTGTTTGGCAGCCCTGGCCTTGTGGCAGGCCCAAACTGTTGGATGGAAACTAAAAGAACACGAAGTCTCCAGACACCTGGATGCCACTTACCTGCACACATACTGTCACGTTGGCTGGCCCTGTGACGTATGCGGGCATTTTTTTTTTTTTTAAAGATCACTGAAGACAGCCGCTGCACCCCTTAAAACGGAAAAGGGGTATGATTTGTAAACAACTTCTCTGCAGACTTCCACTTTGATTTCACCAAAGGCACCTTGTTGGATGCCGATGGGTCTCCCTTTGTTTCTTTTTAATTTTCCCTTTTCTGACTATGAATAGAGTCGCCCAGGGTCTCCCTTAACTCCACATTTTCACCCTCTCCTTTGACCTTGGTGTAGGAAAAACAGACCCTCAAAGTGTGATGGTGTGGGTTCTTCTGCCTTCCTCTCCATTGTGAGGTATGGGTGCGCTCCCCAGAGCTGGACTCCTTGGCTACCAGCCGTGCTTCTCACCCCTGAATCCCTGGAGGATGGGCCGGGGACGCCCAGGACTCTGGCTGGACTTGACCCTACAGGCTCATCATGTGACACTGAGAAATGAGCGATCCCTTCTGAACTTTGTTGCAGTGGTCACATCTGCTGGTCCCAGGCCCTCATGGGAGGCCCTTTGTGAGCCTCTGTACTGTCGGGGGAAGGCAAGTCTCGCACTGCCGGCTGGCCCCTGTCTTAGCACTGCTGTATGCTAGCCACCAGTAGGCGCTCTCGTGCTGCATCTCTAATCCTTGAGAGAGGTGTTGCACCACTGGGCTATAACTACTGCTGGACACTAAGTGAGAGGGTTGTTTTTTTTTTTTAAAAAAGATTTATTTATTTGTGCATACAGAACTGGAGTACAGGCCAGAGGCTCAGGGTGGCGAGAGACTTCACCAGAGACAGGGTGGGGAGCAGAACAGGCAGATCTACGAAGTACACTGCTGAGGGGAGCAGCGGGCGGGTCAGGAGAGGTCTGCCACGCCATGTGGTCACCTCCGGGGCAGGCGGGGATCGAACTCATGCGGAAGTGGCTTTAGATTCTCAGTGCTGTGCTTTAACCCGCTGCGCCACCAGGGAGGGCCCGGTTGGTGTTTTGTTTGTTTTTTTTTTAAGTAAATTTTCCTTTTTAAAGATTTTATTTATTTTTGCAAGTAAGAATTGGTGAGCAGGCCAGAGGTGCAGGGTGTGTGAGAGAGCAGATTCACCAGAGAAGAGTGGGGGGCAGAACAGGTAGATCTACTGAAAACCATTGCTGAGGGGGGCAGCGGGCAAGACAGAAGAGGTCTGCTGCTTGCACTGTGTGGGTCAGCTCCCAGGATGGGGTTGGAACCCAGGCCATCTCGGTGATAGCACTGAGACTCAACCCCTAGGCCACCAGGGAGGCCTTACATGGGAGATTTTGAGGCTGGCTCTGACTGCAGTGTTAGACTCTTGGTTGCTCTTAGCTGTGTGCTCAGGAAGTGATCTTGCAGCCCTTCACTGCGAAGAGAGCCCAGATAGAGCTCCGTCTGGACCACTGTCTCTGTTACAGTGATGGTTTTGGTGGCCCACAGTGCTCGCGGAAGGTTCCTGCCACCTCCTAGCTTGTGACCCTCCTAGCTTGTGACCCAGAGAAGGCTGCACATGGTTACCCGTGATTGTGAGCAGAACATGACGGCATCTTACTGGGTTTCGAAGGTCACTGATCAGTGTGATGAGACCAGTGGTTAGGGGAGTCAAGGGGAGACATGAGGGCAGCCTGAACAGGGATATGCAGGGACCCGGAGAGGGTATCCTAGGGGGCATTTGGAGGGGGAATGGGAGGAATCTGTGGGTTTGGCAGGACAGAGGAACAAGAGGGATGAGTGAGGAAGAGGTCTGGATTTCTGACTGGGCCGTGGTGCCCTTCTCCTAAGGCAGAGTACGAATAGGGAAAAGTCAGGGCGGACGGGGGCGGGGAGGGCTGGCAGGTGAGTTTCTTTTGCACTTTAGAGTCTGTAATGGCCCGAAAGGTAGACCCCTAAGAGCAGTTGATGTGAAATGCAAGTGAAACACCTGAACAGGAGGTAGAGATCTGGATGTCAGTGGCCACTTCTGTGGGCTGGAGCAGAAAGCTTAACCCTCCGGGGCTCAGGCTTGTAAGGGGCAGAGGGCAGTGTGCGGGACTCCAAAGGAGAGAGGCCGCAGAGGAGGAGAGCGGTCAGCAGAGGCGGCCAGACTGCCCTGGACTCTTGTGAGAGAAGCTTTGATCCCATGGCTTGGGGTGATCGGGGAGTGAATGGGGTGTGAAGAGCAACTGGCCTTCTGTGAACTGTAGTTGCAAAGCCAAATCCAGAGGGCAGTGGGTAGGAGAGGGTGGGCGGGGCGGCTGCCCTGTGCTCTTTGGCTTGAAGATGGTGAGTGGAGGGGGTTTAGGTCTCAGTGCTCGCCGGAAGGCTGCGCACAGGTTGCTCCTGTTTGGGGTGGCGGCCGTGGAGCCACCCTGGAGAGTCGAGCAGCTTTCAGGCAGCAGCTCCCTGCGGACAGCATGCTGAAAACCTCTGGACTGTGGTGTGTGGTGGGGGGTTTGTAGTCTGGAGGGTGAGTGGGCAGCTCCTCACTCTTCTTGGCTTCCTCACTCCTGTGATGAGTGGGGACCATTCTCAGGGCAAAATGGCGATGTCTTTCCTGCGATATCCTGAGCGTTCTCTGCTTTTCTTCGGCAGTGCAGTCCTTTGGCAGATACCTTCATTTGTCCTCGCTGAAGTCCTTTCGGGCCTCACCCTCTTCCCCCTCTGCTAGGAGCGTAGGGCAGGTGAGGTTTTAGACACCACTTCCCTTTCCTTCTCTCCACTTGCTTGTGTGCATGAGAGGGGGGAGCCCTTGGGCTTGGAGCTGGAATCTCTGACATCTTAGCAGCAAGCTGTTCCTGTTTCTCCTTCAGAGTTCTGGAACTTTATAATCTCTCCATGTAGTGTGTAGGCTCAAGAAGACTTACTGATTTTGTGCTGGTGTGCCAGAAAGAGACACTGTTCAAGGACATTGAACCAGAGGGAGGATTAGGGTGGGAGAGAGCACTTCAGTCGCTGCTGGTTTTGTTGCCCGAATCCAAAGGATGGCTGCAGCTCAGCTGAGTGAGGCCCGTGCAGTAGCTGTGAGAGGGGTTCACATGGCACTTTCCTTTCAGGACATACTCTGACCTCAAAAGCAAGGCAGGGGAACTTAAACTCCAGCTGTATTACTAGGCTCAACCTAAAAACTAGGCATCGTGGAAGTCATTTATTAGCCCTGTGAGTACCCCCTGGAATTTAAACTGTGGTGTGTTTGCAGAGCTTCCTGGTTGATCTGCACCCTGCCTGTGACTGTAGAGCTTGCTCTGGGCCTGTCTTGGGGGCTGTGTAGGGCCTCAAGTCAGCCAGCCAGGGACATCCATATTTTGAGAATATTCTCTTTTTTTTTTTTTTAAAGATGTATTTGTTTATGTATACAGAACTGGGGTGCAGGCCAGAGGTGCAGGGGCAGTGAGAGGATTCACCAGAGACAGTGGAGAGCAGAACAGCAGATTGGCGACGAAGTACACTGCTGAGGGGAGCAACGGGCGAGACAGGAGAGGTCTGCCGCGCCATGTGGTCCAACTCTAGTGCCGGGGATGGAACTCGCACTGAAGTGGCAGCGGCCAGCTTGCAGTGCTGCGTTCTAATCCGTTGCGCCACCAGGGAGGGCCATTTTGAGAATATTCTAACCTATCAGATAAAAATAGCCATTAGTCCCTGATGGCACACGGATGACTCAGTGATGGGAAACCCACGGGGATTACAATTGAGATGGGGAAAAAAATGTACAAAATGATGTAAAAATAAACTATTATTAAAAAAAAAAAAGAAAAGAAAATAGCCATTAGTCCCTCCAGCTGCCCTTTCTCTGTGTACCCCAACCACTTTATCATCTTGCTTTCTGGACCCCTCAAACAGTTGTCTTGACATGAAATCACACGGCCACTGCTTTAGTCGGTTTTCCAAGGACTCTGCTTTGTTGGGTTCATGATTAAGCCATCCCAGAGTGGCAGATCACTGAGAAACTTGTGCCTATTTTGAGAGCAGGTGAAACATGAATCCATGCTGATAGGTAGCCTGTCCGAGACTGACTTCCTAGAAGATGGGCGCTGACATGGGTCCTCTCCGCTCTCAGACAGCCGTCGGAACCTGGGCTTTGGTTCCTGACATACAAAAGACTGCTGACCTAAATATGTATGTTCAGCCCTTGGCCTTCCTGCTGTGACCTGACAGTTACGGATTGTGTGACAGGGTGTGTGATCCATGTAGAAATGACACCTGCCTGCTAGGTGCCAGGTGAGCTGCAAACACTGAGGAGTAGAGGCGTCTGGAAATGCTGCCTTCCTCATTTGGTGCTTCTGTCTCAGCAGCATGAACAGTTCTCCAGGGGCCCCTGACCTTTTCCTTCTGGAAACCGGGACACAGTGTGGTTATTTCCACTTTTAGTTTTGTCCAAGGCACTATACTCCTTTTGTAGATGGGCCCTTGTACTGAAGAGAGGAAGCTCCTTGGCACTGGGGAAGTCACCCAGAGGACAAGGGTCTCGTGAGGTCCAGCTGCCCGTCTCAGTGGCAGTCACCTGAGCATGGCGGTGTAAGAGGATGCACTCCAGCGTCAGCTGCTCAGCTGGTTGTTGGACCTCTCTTGGTCTCAGTTGCTGTGAACTCTAACCTTGGAATAACACACCCATGAGTGCCCTGAGCCTGAATTTAGACTGGAGTGCCTCAGAGTGGTTGGAGGATACAGTACGTTAATGCATCAAGTGCTTAGATGCACGTGTTTTTTGCACTTGAACATGTCTGCAGTCAGAATGTGGTTTCATAACTGATGTCATCTTAGATTGGCTAAAATAACAGTAAACCATATTTTACTCTTTCAGCCTTATTCCATTTTTGTCTGGTTAGTGGTCTAGTAATTATAATAATAGTAGTAACTTTTGCTTGATTCTTGACAGTTTCATTTATCCAACTTTGGAGCTGAGATCTTCCTGCACCTGACTTCGATACTGACAGCGAAGCAAGATATGCTGAGTAGGACTTGAGAGTGTATTTCTAGACTCATTTAAAATTTTTTTTAAAGATTTATTTATTTGTGCATACAGAACTGAGGTGCAGGCCAGAGGTGCAGGGGCGGTGAGAGGATTCACCAGAGACAGTGTGGAGCAGAACAGGCCAATCAATGAAGTACACTGCTGAGGGGAGCAGCGGACGGGTCAGGAGAGGTCTGCCACGCCATGTGGTCACCTCCGGGGCGGGGATTGAACTGGCACTGAAGCGGCTGTGGCCCCACCAGGGAAGGTCCTCTAGACTCATTTTATACATTGCAGTTAAACTCAGGGGATGGTTTAGACAAAGAAGCTAATTTTTGCTCTACCAAAAGATTCTCGAAGCAAGTGTCCCCTGTATGTGCAGATCCAGGCCAGCTTTTACCCCAGCAGTAGGGGTGGCTGGGATGAGTTAGTTCACTGTGGGTGTCCTAGACCTGCCCACCCTAGCCCAGTAGCCACCACCCACCTGTGTCTTTTGAGCTCATGAAAGGTAGCTAGTCTGAATTGAGATGTGCTAATCTGAAGTGTGAGTGCCAGGCACGCAAATTTCAAAGACTCAGTACCCAAATAATAAATTGTTACTAATTATTAAGTTATTAATATTTTTATATTGACTGTATGTTGAAGTGATATTTTAGTTATGCTGCATTGGTTATGTGGGTATTAATTTCACCTGTGTCTATGTCACCTTGGCTACAGACATTTCAAATTACGTGCATGGCATTCTGTTTCCTTTAGATTGGTTATAAAAGTTTAGAGATGAAAAGCACTTACTGAAGCAGAATAAATGCTTGCAGTTGCCCCAGCAGTCAGAGCTGGGCCTTTTCCAGATGTACAGTTCCTCACTAAGCAGATAAGCAAAACACATGGGAAGCTAACATTAGAGACAGGAGGAAAGTGAAGAGCTCAGCCTGCGGCTCTCCTGCACAGTTTGGGTTCTGACTGGCAGTTGCCATTGGCCTTCAGTCTCTCGTGGCTTCTGGAACATAAAGGGGACCTTGCAGACCTGGGAAGACCTAGCTGAGAGTCGATCGGGTTTAGGCTGTCCGAGGGGCCTGTTCTGGAGTTGATGTCCTGGTGTCTGGAGTCCGCTGCTCTCAGCACGTGTTCTAGTCTGGCCTGCAGACAACGCTGTCTGGGCCTTGTTTACCCTGTGGGGTTGCACAGACTCTAGCGCTCCCTGCCCGGGGGCTTGTGTGGGTGAAGTGGGCGCTGAGATGTATGCTCCATGTGTGTTCCAGTGAGGCTGGTCTTCGGGTGCATGTTGACAGTCTCAGCTAGTGCCTGGCACCTTGTGGGAACACGAGCATCACCTTCTGTCTTACTGGGGGGCTGGTACGAGACAGGACTGGGAAAACATGGGAGACCCCTGCGAGCTGTGACATGAGCACCTTCTCTCCCCAGGGAAGTCGCACCTGGCCATCGTGCAGAAGGTGAACAATGAGGGCGAAGGGGACCCCTTCTACGAGGTGCTGGGCCTGGTCACCCTGGAGGACGTCATCGAGGAGATCATCAAGTCCGAGATCCTGGACGAGTCTGAAGACTACCGTGAGTTTAGGACATGGTGTTTCTCCTTGGCCGCTCTTTCACCTTCCTGAGATGTCTGTGTCAGAGGGTGGTGGGCTCTCTGGTTGGCACTGTCCCCAGAAGACCCTGTCCGCCTTGCCCAGTACTGGCCCCTGGCCAGAGGGCTCACACCGCCGCCTGTCCCTGGAGCTCTGGTGCTGTGCCCCAGCCCTTGGGAGCAAGGAGCAGGCGGCATGCCCCTCGGTTGGTGGCGTGGAAGGGGTTCTGGTGCCCAAGCCGGCCTTCTTCCTGTCCTAGGAGACACCGTGGTGAGGAAGAAGCCTGCTTCCCTGAGCACCCCTCTCAGACGGAAGGAGGAGTTCTCCTTGTTCAAGGTGTCTGACGACGACTACAAAGTGAAAATCTCGCCTCAGCTGCTCTTGGCCACTCAGCGCTTCCTTTCCCGAGGTGAGGGCGAGGGTGGACCTGGCCCCGCGTTCATGCTCACCTCCTGTGGGTGGGGAGCCTGAAAGGACAGGTGCCACTGTCCCCTGTTCCGAGTAAGCAGGGAAGTGGCTGGGAGAACCCTGGGCTGCCCTCTGCAGGTCTGTCAGCATCTCAGGTCGCCTGAGAGGCGACTCCTCCCCACCAGGTGACCAAGGGCCAGGGCCAGGGCACCTCAGCTGGGCGGGTGTATGTGCCGGTGCAGCCTCTTGCCTTGGGGCGGGGACTCAGCTCAGCACCGGCCACAGAAAGCCCGGGCGGCAGCAGGAGCCGGGTGTGGTCGTGCAGGCCTCTCTGGGCCCAGTGGACACCGTCCCTTTTTTGCACCCCGGGACAGAGGTGGATGCATTCAGCCCCCTGCGAATCTCTGAGAAGGTCCTGCTGCACCTGCTGAAGCATCCCAGCGTCAACCAGGAAGTGAGGTTTGACGAGAGCAACCGCCTGGCTGCCCACCATTACCTGTACCAGCGCAGCCGGCCGGTGGACTATTTCATTCTCATCCTGCAGGTAACTGGGAGCCTAGGCTGGGGCCTTCCAGTTGCTCAGAAAAAAGTAGGGGAGGGTCTGAGCAGAGGGGAGGAACATCTGGAGGATCATTCAGATACACACTCCCTGAATAATTGGGGTTGGTGCTTTCTCCTTGTGCTCTCTTCTGGCAGGAAAGATAATCTGTCCACATCTGTGTCTCTCCTGCCCCTCCCACCTCCCCCTTTCCCTACACCTCCCAGGGCAGGGTTGAGGTGGAGATCGGGAAAGAGGGCCTGAAGTTCGAGAACGGGGCCTTCACCTACTATGGAGTGTCTGCCCTGACGGCACCGTCCTCGGGTAAGCTGAGCTGCTCCCGAGCAGAAGGCGGGGCCGGCTGCTGGGCTGGCAGAGCCTGGCTGAGGTGCCCGAGTGCCTGGGCTCTAGCCTGCCCTTCGCCGAGCCCGTACCCCCTGCAAGGTGGTCTGCTTTGGGCCTTGCTGCTTCTCGCCTCTAGAGGGGAGGGGCAGCGTTTCTTCAAGGCGTCCCTCTGCTGCCCACTCCCATCCCCAGGGCCCCTTTCCCAGGGGGAAGTGTGCGTGGTCTTCTTTTCACAGCTGTGGCCATGTTCCTTCTCCAGGGTGATTTATGGGGTGGATCTTAGCGGCTACGAGGTGGTGTGCGTGGCGGCAGTGGGTGAGGGCTGCCCGGCTGCCAGCATGGCTTCCCTGTCACTGATCGTTCCTGTCCATAGTTCACCAGTCCCCAGTGTCCTCGCTGCAGTCTCTCCGCCAGGAGCAGCCCGAGCCCGTCGACGGCACCCGCGTGTCCTCATACTGTCCTGACTACACTGTGAGAGCCCTCTCGGACCTGCAGTTCATTAAGGTGACCGCATTGCTTACCGCTCCTGGCATTTTTTTTTTTTTTAAGAGTTATCTTATTTATGCATACAAGAAAAGCTGGGGTGTGGAGGGTCAGAGGGCATGAGAAATTCACCAGACACAGAGTGGGGAGCAGAACAGGCAGGTCCACTGAAATACACTGTTGAGGGGAGCAGCGGGTGGGTCAGGAGAGGCCTGCAGCGCCATGTGGGTCAGCTCCCTGGCTGGGGATTGAACTCGTGCTGCAGTGGCTGCGGACAGCTTTATAGTACTGAGACAGATGCCCTTGTGCCACCAGGGAGGTCCTCACTCCTGCCATTTAATCAGCTTTATGTCCCCAAGGACTAGACCAGCTGGTCACAAATTTCTGTGGATTGAGAGTAAATTCTTACCAGTTCTGAGTCTTCCCAGGACAAATCCTTATACTTGCCCTGAAGGATGGGTGGCCTCGGTTCCCTGGTCACTGGTGGCCTGGCCCCCCTCCGGGCCTGCGCACAAGTTTCCTCTCAAGGTCTCGAGCACACACTCCTTGACTGCTCTTCCATGTCCTGAACTAGCTCTGAGTTCTTCCTCTCTTTCCCTGCCATGTGCGACTCTCCCAGTTGGTCCAGGAACTTGTGGGTAAGAGGGGCAGTGTGACCTCACCTCCTCCACTTAGCTGCCCTGTTGCACCTGCCGCCCAACGCTCTGTCCTGCAGGTCTCGCGGCTGCAGTACCTCAATGCACTCCTGGCTACACGGGCCCAGAACCTGCCACAGTCCCCTGACAGCTCGGACCTCCAGGTCATCCCAGGCAGCCAGGTCAGGCTCCTCGGTGACAAGATGGCAGACGCAGCAGGTGAGCCCCGAGTGGTCGCGTCCACGCATGGGTCCCCCCAGAGGGCATGTGCGCCCGGTCGGTCCGTGCTACCCACATGGGTGTACTCTGCCCTGCGTTCCTCTTTTCTCCCATCGCTCCCTTTCTCCTTTCCTGCTGGTTGCTAGTAGGCCAACTGATACTGAGTTGCAGAGCTGTTGGCACTCAAAGTAGGGAAATGAAGTCAACATTTTTTTCTCCAGGGCCTGCTAGGGTGGGAAGATGATCAAGTACACACATTCTGTTAGCGACTTGGGACGGGTCAGTGGGAAGTGAAGCTTTGGGTCACCAGTGGGCCCCACAAAGAAGGCAGACAGCTACTGATAGCCCCCCAGAAACAGAAAGGCCCCCGCTGAGACATTTGGGCAGATCAGGGTGATACTGAGGCATGCCCTTTGCATCCGGGGCGCCCGACGAGCAGGACAGTGATGGTGGAAGGAACAGGGGTCAGAGATAGTTCAGGGCACACTCTGGAGGAGCTGCAGCCTGCAGGGAGACGGGGAGGCGCTCCCCTCGCAGGGCGTGGGTGCTCGGTCAACTGTGCCGAGCACTTTCCTCGACTTAGCTCACCTAAGAAGACTTACTGGTTGAGAAGTGCTAGTTGCTGTGCCCATTTTGCAGACGAGCAGTTGGAGGCAGAGAGCATTCTTCTGAGGCCTGTGTGCGCCCTTGGCCTGAGGGCCCTGGTGGTGGCCCTTCCACCCCCCGAGAATGCAGACATGTTTCCATGACAGACGTGTACTTTCTGGGAGGTGCTGTGCAGGTGCAGGCGACCCGCATCCTGGCCCGGGCCTCCTGGCGGCTCTGTCCCCGGGGGAGGGAGCCGCAGCGGTGCCGGGCCGGGCCTGGGTCACGGCCCTGTCCGGGTGTGTGTGCACTGCCCCGAAGCTGCTCTGCCTTTGCGGGCCAATGACGTCTCCCACTGTGACGGTACTTTATTTTGTGAGGCACCCCTGGTACAGAGGGGCACCCCATCACATCAAGAGTGGGGTCTCGAAAGCCCAGCTGTTTTGATTTTTTTCCGAAACCTGTGCCTTTGGTTTTGGTTTTTCTCACACATGAGCGTCCTCTGGCTTCATCTGCTCTTGCTTGGCACCTCTTGTATCCAGGGACACTGAACTCTATTGACAAGAATGATGGCGCCCCCTGTGGCATCCTTGGCTTCGCCACTTGCGGGCCGGGCCGGTAGGGGCTACTTTGAGGGCTGCCGTGGCCATGGGCTTCTCCACAGCTGATCACCAGCCCTGGGGGATGTGCAGGCCCAGGGCAGCTCGGATGTTGGTTATTTTTCCCTAAGTGAAGCGTGGCGCTCGTCTCCCATAGGCGCTCCTGCTGTCTCTGCCTCCGTTCTTGGGTCTTGCTGTAGTTTATCTCTGTAGCCCGGCACTTCCCTGCCCAGGGGAACCTGTGCTGCCCCCCACACACAGATGGGTGCCCAGGGTCACTGCTCTCGTAGTGCAGGTCAGAGCCGTGCCCTGGTGACTTTGGCCCTAGGTTCCCTGGCGGAGAAGTTGCTTTATTGAAATGCCTGGAAGGTGTAGTAATCTTTAACTTCCTACAGCAGGGCTCGACAGACTGGCCCAAGAGCAAATCTGGCCAGCTGCCTGCCCTTGTAAACTAAATTTTATTGGTCCCTGACATTTGCTGGCAAATTGTTCTGACTGCTTTTGCGCTGCCACAGCAGAGTGTAGTGGCCACAGGGACCCGTGGCCCTGTCCAGAAACAGTTGCGACCCCTGGCCTGCCTTTCAGATTCAGGAAAACTCCGCGTTGCTCATTCACAGAACTGGCTTTCCAAGGGAAGGCCTCCCCGAGGGCTGGGCCTCTCGAACGCCTCTTGTACTAAGCGGCGGGGCATGGGGAAGGGCCGTCCGCCTTGACCTTCCTTGCCCTGCGACGTCCGGCTGTGACGCTGCCCGAGCAGGGCAGCCTGGCCATTCTAGCTCAACAGCTTGTCTCCTCTGTCTCTCTCTCTCTCTCTCTGCTCTCTAGCCTTCCCAGTAGACCTTTCCCTCTTTGGCACATTTGGAAACTGCAGTTGATAAATGACTGTGAACTAGTGAGCATTTTTTATTTTAAGAAAACACCTAAGGTAAATATCTTCCCTTTCACTTTCCCTGTGCTTTCCTTCCCCAGAGGGTTAGTTACTGGGAGGAGCACTGCAGGCTGCTCCCCCCAGACTGGAGGGAAGCATTTCTCCACAGGGGTGAGTGGGTGCCTCCTGTCCTGTCCTGCCACCTTTCATCCTGGAAGACAGGAGGCGTCGGAAACCCCTGCACCGCCTTGAAAGCTAGAGCCGCAGGCCTTTGAGCACAGGCGCTTTACGGTCTGGTGCAGGTTCCCTGAGCCCAACTTTATGACTTGGACCTCCCGTGGGCAGAAGCCCACAGCCCCTGCGCCCCCAGCCTCGGGTGAGGCCTGCCCTCTCAGGGCTCGTCTCCTGCGAGGCAGAGGTCGGCTGCCCGCGTGCCCAGCTGGCCGCCCTAGTTCTGCCCTGATTCCTCTCCCGGTGTCCTGAGGCGTCTCTGGCTTCCCTGCCGCTCCTGTCCTGAGGGAGGATCTTAGCTCTGGGTGTTGCTAGGACCTGCTCCCTCCACTGGCTGATGTTGGTTCTTCTTCCCTTCTCTCCTCTAGGGCCCAACCACAGCAGACCTGGTCTCCCAACAGAGGAGAGCCCTGGGCGGAACCCAGGAGTTTAACTGCTTGCCAGGCAGCCCCAGGTCTGGGGAATGGACAAGCGCGTGGGGAACTGGAGAATGCCGAGGAGTAACTTGCTGCCAGCCTGCCCCCACCCCTTCCAGGCCACGTTTTAGATGGCCCTAACGGCGTAGGTGCTGGGCGGCCCTCAGGCCCGGGCATCGGCGCCAGGAGCCTTCCGCGGACCCTGTCCTCCTTTAGGATGGGGCCCGGCCAAGGCGTAGCACCCAGGTCTGCTTCTGGAAGGAGTGAAAGGAGTGCCCCTTCCCCTCCGGCCCCCAGGGCACCGCCTTCTCCCCGTGACAGCGCAGAGCATCTATACCTCTTCTGGCCAAGCCATGAGGCGGGTGCACGGTGACAGCCTTCACGGGGCTGTCCTGCTCCCGCTTTGCTTATAATTTGCCAACCTGCTGCTGCTGGCAGCACTTTTTGAACAACCAAGAGCACTCGTTTGGGGATTCAGGTCCATTGCCTTGACCATGGTGAACTCTTTGGGGTCCCTTATGATAATGTGTCTCAAAGCACACCCCAGCCAACTTCATGTGCCAAACCTAGAAGCCTAAGTACCCGTGAGTCGCCCGCTAGCCCCTCCTGTGGAGGTTGCTTTTCAGACCCTTGTGGAGCGCGAGTGAGCAAGCGAGCCCCCCGGGCCTGAGGAGGCCTGCTCTTTCTGCTTCTCTGCTTGTCTTGCTTAGCTGCCACTAACAGTGTTGTCATTTTGTGTGTGTGTTCCAAGAGGACTCACGCATGGGAGGAAGGGATCTTTGCTGCACCTTTTCTTCCTCGTCAAACCTAGGGAGAGTGGCCAGCCAGTAGCTGTATTCTGTTACTCCTCAGCAGGCCTCACGGAGGGGCCATGTGGCTGTGATGTGCGTGGAGATGGGCGGAAAGGGAGCCAGTAGATCCCCATCACCTTTCAGAAAAAGGACGTGAGAGCAGACCTATCCCACTTCTGAAAGATTTCAAGCTTTTTGCTTTGTTCATGTTCCTAGCAGTGGGGTTTCAGAGAAGTGGGGACCAGAGGCACTTGCCTTTTTCTTCTGGTTTACCTGTGTCACCTTCCACACTTCAGCCGTGTGGAAACCTGGACATCACAGGGACCTAGGAGCAGAGCTTGGGCAGGGCAGGAGGAAGATTTCTGGGCCTTTCTCCGAGGATTTGGGGTTATACTCTGGGACTAGTGGGAATAAAGGTCTAAGAACCATGATCTGCTCCTTAGAAGTTGTTCTCAAGGAATTCACTGCCAAGAACCCGGGTGGAGACATGTTAAAAATCATCTCTTTCTGGACAGTGGGTCTCCACTTCGGCTGCACATTGGAATCACCTGGCAAATTAAAATATTGATCCGTCCCCCTTCTGTTCTGATTCAGTCAGTCTGAACATCAGGATTTTATGCTCTTAATGACTTTACTTTCTCAATAGAGTTTCACATCCCCTCCACTCAGCTTCTGTTAATGTCCACATCTTAGAACCGTAGCAATCTGTCAAAACTGAAAATTGAGCCAAACTAATCACTAAATTACAGACTATTTCATTTTACCAGTTTTTCAATGTCCTTTTCTGTTGCAGGGTCCAAGCCAGCGTACCAAGTTCCGTTTAGAGTTACTACTGTTGTTTTTCTTTAATTTTCGTTAAATAGATTCATAGGAAGTTGCAGAGGTCATGCTCCCCTGCCCCCTCCGCCTAGTTTTTCTCTGATTACATCTTGCGTAGCTGCAATACAGTATCAAGACCAGGAACCCAACACGGCTGTGCTGTGGTGTGTGGTTCATGTCATCTCAGAGCTATCCACTTACCGCACACACACCCCTCCCCCCCGCCCCAGAGTCTCACACACACACCCCCCCCCCCCGCCACCAGCCCTCATCCTTAGCAACCGCTCATCAGCTCATCATCTCTACGACTTGTCATTTCTAGGAGGTTGTGTAAGTGGGATGTGTGGTATGTAGCCATTTGGGATTGGCTTTGTGCAGTCAGCATCGTACCCTGGAGGCGTGTCCAGCCTGCTACTCAGCGGCTGGTTCGTGATGCCTGTGGCATACTCAGTCTCATCTAAGGACGACTAGGTGTTGCCAGTTTTGGCTCTTCCAAATAAAGCTGCTATGAACATTCCTTGGATTTTTGTGTACACTTTGGTTTCCTTTTCTTTGAAATACATGTCCAGGGGTGCGGTTACTAGGTCGTGGGATGGCAGGGTGTGCGGACGGCCAGACTTCAGAGGGCCGCGGCCACCAGCGTGCCAGAGTGCCCCAGGTGCTCTGAATCCTGCCCGCACTCTCTTTTCTATCATGGCTATTTCTGGGAAGCGTGTAGCGACACCGTGTGGTTTCCACTTGCATCTCTGTAGTGACCAGTGTGTCTTGTCCACAGGCTTATTTCACTTCATGTCTGTTCATGTCTTCTACCCTTTTCCTAATTTTTTTTAGACCTGTAAAGATTTGAGAGTTCTTTAGATATTCTAAGTATTAGGCCTTTGTCAGGCTTTTGATTTACAGATATTTTCTCCCAGTATGTAACTTAGTTTTTTCATCCCCTTAACCAGATTTTTCTCTTAATTGAGTCAACATTAGTTCACAGCATTGTGATTTAGAGGTACAAGGTCTCCCCCTTTAGATATTGTTACCACACCACACCCACCACCCAAGTATCTGTAGTCCATTGTACTTTCTCCCTTTTTTAAAAAAAGTTAGATTTATTGAGGTAATTAATGTTGGTTTATATCACAGAGTCTTAGGGGTACCGGTTTACGTCTCTACAATATGATGTTTCACCACACCCACCATTAGATTCCTCTAACCATCCGACCTCCCTGTCCCCTTTGCTCCCAGTTCCCCCCTTCTGCGTCTGATAATCTGAGGCTCTTCCCCTTCTGTTTTCGCCCCTCCACGGCTCCCTCCTGGGTGCCTCAGATCTATGATCAACTTTCAAATTTGTCTGACCTTTTTATTGGTTTGTCAAACCACATTTAAGTGAAACTGTCCAGAATTTATCTTTTCTTTATTTCACTTAGTATAATCCCTTTCAGCTCCATCCATGTTGGTTCAGATTACATGAGTTTATCTTTGTTGATCACTCAGAAGTCTTCAATTATGAATTTATACCATATCTTTTTGATCCGTTCATCTGGATTGTTTCCATACCTGAGCTATTGTAAATAGTGCTGCAATAACATGGGAGTGCAATTTTTTCTTTCATATTAGTGTTTTTGTATACTTTGGGCAGATGCCTAGGAGTGGAATTGCTAGGTTTTATGGCAGATCCATTTTTAGAGTTTTACGGAACTTCCATACAACTTTCCATAGTGGCTGAACTAGTCTTCATTCCACTAGCACTGTAAGAGGGCTCCTTTTTCCTAAATCCTTGCCAGCATTTGTTTTTGTTTTTAGTATGGGCCATTCTCACCAGATGTGAGGTGGTATCTCATTGTGGTTTTGATCTGCATTTCTCTGATGATACTTGATGGTGGACATTTTTTCATGTCTGTTCCTCACCACTTCTAACAGGATCTTTTAAGAGCAAAGTTTTTCTTTTAGATCAAGTCCATTCTACTGATTTTTCTTTTTACGAATGAGGCTTTTTGTGTGTCATGTCTCAAAAATTTTGCCCTAGTTGTAGATCCCCCAAAGTGTTTTATTCTAAATATTTTATATTTTCATATTTTAGATTTAAGCCTGTGATCCAGTTTGAGTTAATTTTTATATAAGACATAAGGTTAAGGTCAAGGTTTTGTTTTGTTTGCCTATAGATGTCTATTCTTAAAGCATCATTTGTTGAAAATACTGGCTTTCTTGTCAAAAATTAGTTGGACATATTTGTATCTATTTCTGGATTATTCTGTCACTACTACATTGTTTTGATTACTGTAGTAATGTAAGTCTTGAATTTGATAGACTGATTCCTCAGTTTTTTTTTAAGAGATTATTATACATACAAGAGCTGGGCTATAGGCCAAGAGTGCAGGGGGCTGGGAGGTGGGGGGAAGTGAGAGGATTCACCAAGACAGAGCAGGAAGCAGAACAGGCAGCTCTACTGAAATGACACAATGACACTATTGAGGGGAGCAGTGGCTGAGACAGGAGAGGTCTGCTGCACAACGTGGATTACCTCCCTGGCCAGGCCTCAAACTCATGCTGCAGTGGCTACTGATAGCTTCATAGGCTTAACCCCTTACAACACCAGGAGGACCCTGATTCCTTAGCTACTCAAAATTGTTTTAGGTATAAATTTTTAAATTATCTACATATACAAATCTTGCCGGGATTTTGGCTGGAACTGCATTAAATCTGTAAACTTGGGGAGAACTTATATCTTTACTATGTTGCATCATTCAGTCAGTTAATAATGTATCTTTTCCAGTCTTTGATATTCATCAGCAACTTGGTTTTCAGCATATGCATCCATATGTCTTCTGTTAGATTTACACCTAAATGCTTACTGTAAATGGTACTGTTTTTAATTTTGGTGTCAATAGTCATGGCTAGTTTTTGTGTGCTTATCTAAATCCTGCGTTCTTGCTGGACCTCCCTTCCCCTAAAGGAGCTTTGGGAGGCTTGCTGAGGATTTCATAAATAAGCTGCGTTATAACGCTGCTATGTAGTCCTACCTCCAGGGATTTTGCCTTAACCTGCCTGAACACCAGGGCTTTGCAGATCTTCCTCAGTGGTTTGAATTAAGCAACCAAGGCCAAGAAACAATGCCCTTGACTGTGTCCTTCAGTGAGCAGCGGTGCCTAGTGGACCGCACTAGTGCCCACACTGCCGCTGGAATGTGCTGGATTAATACAGCCCCGCTTGCCGTCAGGCAGACTGGTGAACAGGCTTGAGCTTTGTTGCTCAGGATGACAAGGCCTTGGGCCTAGTGACTGACCCCTCCCAGCCCAGAACAGACAGTGAGGCTGTGTTGGACAATCAACCAATTTTAATGAACAAAAAGTTATGATCTGTATAAAAAGGTGGTTCTGTCTGTCTCTTAAGTGTCCCCATTTTCTAGATGGGGAGTTGTCTACTCCATGGACTTGAACACCTATTTCTCCTGGGCCTCCAGTGCCACGTTAGGCTCTGGTTGTTGCCACAGGGCAGGAGCTGCCCAGGTGGAGGAGTGTGTATTTGTGGCCCCTGGTGGGGAGCCCTGGTCAGTTTCTTCACGTAGGAAAAACAGCCTTGTTCTGGGCCTCAGAGGGCCTCTGAAGTCAGGCTAAAAATAAGTGCTCCGAAATGGTACCTCACGCACATGAGGAGGGCGAAAGTGTCAGCCCAGCCCTCGGCCCGTTTCCCAGTTCAGGGCACAGTCTTAAGATTCACTTACTGGCTTGTAAGGACCCAGCCTTCGCCAGTAGTACAGGTCTACACCGGTGCAGCTTGAAACTTAATGGATAAGGAAAGAGGAAGGAACTTTTAGAAGAGCCTGTGTAAAGTTGGGTCTTAGAACTGCCACCAATTAGCAGATGGTTAACCCGCCTCTGCTTCCTGGCTGGGCGGAGGGCCTCAGTGTCCTGCTCTAGGGGATAGAGCAAGCAGGTGCAGCAGCTATAGGAGCCAGGAAGGGCTTCAAGCCCAGGGCAGTAGTAGGGCCTGAGGCGAAGTGGGGTTACGGGCCACCGCCCCCAAGTTGAGTGGGCCACAAGCAACCCCAGCACCCAGGCACTTGCCCCTACAAGGAAAGCCAGTGGGCACGGGTTTCCCTGAAAGAAATAGGAGCTCCAGATCATTGGTCTAAGAGCCTCTGGGGCAACCAGGTTGGTACTGGACTTCTGTGGCAGAGGAGCCTCAAACCTGTTGAACAGCCCCCTCCAGATGGCCAGGCCCAACATCAGAGTCTCTAAGACCAAAGGTATGTAAAGCCACTCCAGACCCTACCAGGGTTGCTGCTGATAGGCATGGAGTTGCCTGGAGAAACCCCTGCCCAAGGGCCTGGGCCAGCTGCAGAAGGGCCTAGCCTCTTCGTGGCCGATTCCAGTTGCCTTTGTAGGTCTCTGGTAGTAGCTGTTAGCCATGCCCTGAATCACCACCTGATGGGAGACTGGCCCCGTGGAGGCAGGGGCTGATCGTCTCCCAGACTGGGCTCAGTGGACACTGAGGGGATCTGGCACCAGCCCGTGGTAGCTCGAGGCTTAGAGTCGTTTTCTGCTCCGTCCTGGGCTCCCATTATCCATCCTTGTCTGGACCCACTTTTCCTCTTACCCGCGGTCCTCTGCCTCAGCCCCTTAGCTCAAGCCCTAGCAGGGAATGAGTCACCCCTGAGACATGAAGCCAGGGAGCCTGCTTGTCTACCTGCAGGGCCTGGAGCTGCTCCTCGGCCTCCACGGGGCGGCCCCGGAGGCTGGAGGAAACGCCCTGAGAGGAGTCGGGACTGAGGTCGGGACCGCAGGGGTGCAGAGGCTTTAGTCATGGAAGGATGGGAGAGGAAGGGAATGGAATGGTGGCGCGGTGACCCTGCAGGTCTGCTGTCATCGCTAGCATCGGGTCCGGGGGTGCCCCACGTGGGCCTGCAGTGCTTCCCGGATGCCCCGCTGCCAGTCCCGAGCCAGCTGCACTGGGGTCATGGAAGCCTGGGGACGAAGATGCTGGGTCAGTTCTTAACTTCCCCAGGAGGGCCCCACCCACCCCTCTATGGCAGGGCCGGCGGCTCCTCACCACGTTCCGCACGCCCAGCCGGGCTCCGTAGAGCAGCAGCACCTTCATGGCTCTGTAGTTCCCGTGACGCACAGCCTCGTGCAGTGCCGTGTCCCCCTCCTTTGAAAAAGAAGACATGGTTCCAACCTCCCTGTCCTTGGGGACTGACAGGTTGGCGGGTGTCTTGGTCACTGTCCCCCCTAGAGCTGCCCTCAGACTGGAAGGACCAAGCGCCTACCTTGTCCTGCGCGTTAATCTGGGCTCCACATGCAATGAGGTGCTCCAGGCAGTCACAGTGCCCTGTGCGCACAGCCACATGCAGGGGGGTGCTCCAGATCTACGGGAGCAAGCGAGAACTGGCGTCACCCCAACGCCAAGGGGCGCTTCCCAAAGGGCTGTGCTCTCTCCTGGAATTCACCTCAGTGCACAGCTCCCCTGGCACCCACTGGCCACCCTCACAGCACTGTGGCCCTCACCTTGTCCCGGGCGTCGACCTGAGCTCCCTGGTTAAGCAGATGTTTGAGGATGTCCAGGTGTCCTCCACGGCAGGCCCAGAACACAGGGGTCCTGTCCAGCTGCAAAGCAAAAGCATCAAAGCGCTCTGATAGGCCGTCAGGCTGGGCGGGCGGGTGCCACGCAGACGGGCCTTCCCCAGTTCTCACCAAGTCCCGAGCGTCCACAGCAGCACCCGCCTCCAACAACTTGTTCACAAGCTGGCCGTGACCCTTGAGGCAGGCCCAGTGCAAGGCGGTGCGGTGGAGCTGGGGGTGGAGACAGGTGGTTAGGCAGAGGGAACACAGCCCTCCCCAGTGGTCCCACCCAGGCTGGCTCCCTGACAGCTGCTTGCTGCCTCATCCTGGGTAAGGTCTTCCTCCTGGCTCAGGAGGCACCACAGGACTCTTGCCCAGGAAAAAGTCCTGCAGTTTCCTAGGCTGAGACTAGAACACTTTGAAGGACAGGTAAGGCTGTGGTCTAGTTCACCTGCCCCCCACACCCCCTACCTTATCATGGGCGTTGGGGTCCCCGCCGTCTGTCAGGTACTTGTCAATCAGGGCTTCCTGGTTCTCAGCAGCTGCCTTCAGGAACATCTCCAGGTCCACAGGCCCCAGCTGGGCCTGGGACTGCGGCTGGGTAAGTTGAGGAACAAAACCAAGTCACTCCCTGGAATTGTAGGCCTCTAACTTCACAGCTTCACCAAGTGAGGTCTAACCACAGCCTAGCCATGTGGTTTCTAAAGAGCTGAGAACCAGCATGTTGGTTTGTACAAATAACAGATTTTTTAAAAAAGATTTTATTTATGCATACAGAACTGGGGTACAGGCTGGAGGTGCAGGGGCAGTGAGAGGCTTCACCAGAGACAGAGTGGACTGCAGACAGGCAAATCAATGAAGTACATTGCTGATGGGGGCAGCGGGCGAGAAAGGAGAGGTCTGCCATGCCATGTGGGTCAGCTCTGGGGCTGGGGATTGAACTTGCACTGAAGAGGCCACAGCTCGGCTTAATGTTAGCTTTGCAGTGCAGTGCTCCAACCCGCTGTGCCACCAGGGAGGGCCCCAAAATAGATTTTTAAAGAACCTATCCCCGGAGGGTCTGGCTAAATAGGCATGGGAGTGGGGTGTATTATGGGGTTGACTAGCGGTTTCCTCCAAAGTTTGTATATTTAAGTCTTAACCCCTCATAGCTCAGAATTCAACCTTATTTGGAAATAGGCTTGCTGTAGCTGTAGTTAGCTGAGTAAGTTGTGCCCTGTTCCAGTGTGACAGGCCCACTGAAGGGGACCTTTAGACACCTCTGCCATGTGAACACCAAGGCAGAGGTGGGGAGGACCCACCTGCAAGCTAAGGAGTGCTGCAGAGTGCTGCCGGGCCCTTGGGCCGTGGGGGCCGACAGATTCTCCCCCGCAGCCTCGGACCCAGCCTGCACCGGCCTGTCCGGGCTCTGAGCCCCTCACCCTTGAAACGATAACCTTTTGTTGTTTAAGCCCCGCTGCCTGTGCTACTTCTTTTCGGCAGCCCTAGCAAATACGCTTTTCTGGAACCGGCTGTGCCGTTGTGGCCAGCAGCATCTGTCCACCTACCCGAGCTCTCCCAGGGGGACGGGACGCTGTCCCTCAGGAGCCTAGTCTAGTGTGTGCACCCGCAAATTCTCACCTTAACCACCCACTCAGGTGTGCTGGGGGGGACGCTGCATTTCAGTTTCAGTTTCAGTCGCTTTTCTCTTCGTCTTTGAACCAAGTTTTCCAAGTCGGCCAGATTCTCCAGGTTAACTCTGGAACTGTTAAATCTTTCAAGCTGGGGTCGAAGAGAACACCACGCCCGACATCAGCCACGGGTGACGGGAACCTCGGTGTTTCAGCTCCCTGCCCACAGGAGAAACCCAGCCGCTTGGGCTGGCCGGTCTTGGGACCCTGCCCCCAGAGATCTCCGCCACCCCAACCCCACACTCACTTTCTTCTTCTTCTCCTCTTCCAGCCTCTGCCTTTCCCGGGCTGCAGCCTCTTGGGGTCCCAGCCTCCAGCAAGTAGGCCGGCCTCCAGGATCAGGACCTCCATGTCCACATTCCAACACTTTTCTTCCAACTCCTTCTCCACTTACCTGTAGGAACAGGAAAAAGAATCAGAAAAATAAGGCGCGCTTCGAAAACGTTGGTGTGCCGCTCAGGGGAGTCATGACAGAGCTGACATACCAAGGCCTAGCCCGACCCTCCTCAAAGCTTCTGGAGGGCGTGCTTCCTGTTGCCCATGGTTGTTGCTGGCTCCCACCAGCTTAGTGCCTGTCAACGAGGCCTATGTGGTGACAAGTGCCCCCCACCCCCGTCCTGTCAGCAGGAACGCAGGGTGGGAACATGACGCCACCTCTATTTATACTGTGGGCGCGTGGCCCGGTCAGCTCAAGGCAGAGGACAGTTCAACTTCCCTCGTGGGTGGTTGACCTTATGCCTACCAGATCACGCCATGGGTGCACCTGACCCCAAGCTTAGTGGCACAGAGGAGATGCCTCTGGGATAAAATTCTGAATTCCTGGGCTCAGATCTTGGTGCTTTATGAAGCTTCATCAGTAAAGCAGGGTCAAACTAGCACTTACCTCACAGAGCTGCAAAGATGAAATGAGTCATTGGGTCTTGTGTTGGGACCAGCCTCACCCAACAAAAATTCATTCTTACCTCCTCAACCCCCACCCCCAAAAATTCAGGATCTGGGGAGTACTGAGGAATAAGCATGTTAGGGGGCGCCTGGGCTTCTGACCACATGCAACTGTATTTCCTTCTAAAGCAAACTCATAACCATACACTCCCCCGGCTCAGCCTGTCACCTAGTAAAGGCCCTTCCAGGGGGATGCCAGCTGGGCATTGTCACACCCTTCACTATGCCCTGCCTCACTAAAACATGCCCAAATGTCCCTTCTCCTCACAGCCCGGGGTACACAAGAGCACCCTTCTCTCGCCTCCACGACAGCCGGAACGGTGCACCATTTCCAGAGCAAGGGTCAGCATGGCGGCTGAGCCACACTTGTGTCTTCTGGGGTAACCTGCCACCTCCCTGCCCACCCTCTGCCATCATGGTCGGGGTGGAGCTCACTAACTCAAGGATTTTCATGTCTACCTTCACCTGACGTGTCTACCTTGGCCTCCTTCGTGCTCCCTAACCCCTCACTTCTCACGAGAATTTAGCAAACCAGAAGAGTTGCATGTTTCTGCTCCTGATGCCTGAGCCTCAGGTCACAGTAAGAAGCTGCCTACTCTCCAGCCAGCCTCCTTAACCTGCCGAGATGGTCTTGGGGGTGCAGGATTGCCATCACCCAACCTCCCAGCCCTGCCCCACGTCCTTACCAACTGCTGGATGCTGATGAAGTCCATGGTCCCCCCCTGCTCTCCACACCCCCCAGTAGAGGAACTGAGCTGCTCAGTCCTTTTATAGGAGAGTTGTCTCTTGGGAGGCAGGGCAGAGGCTGGCACCTGTGCCAGATAACTCTGTGGCTCTGTAACACCCACCAAAATACCCATGTGGGCATACAGCTTGCTGATGATGGCAGAAGAGCTGTTTTGAGCTGAGTCAGTTGCACCCTCAGACACCCACTATCCTGCACCTGTGCCAGCCCCCTCACTTAACAGTAATTCAACCAATAAGCACATGTCCTGTGGTGTCTGGGCCACTAGCCCAGATCTAGGGGAGTAGTTCCCACTCTTAAGTCTAGACACCACTCATGAAAGAGTTGGCTATGAATCTCCATGCTGCTATTGGTCCGACTACCTGAGCCCCTGAAAGACAGTCCAGCTGCCCCAGCAAAAGTCCAGAATCCAAAAGAGATCCCCAGAAGGGACAGGCCCAAGAGGCTAACTTCTGCCTCAGGAATCCTCATAGCACCAATATGAGGAATTCGGGCTTCAAGTGATTTTCCAGCTCCCAGCAAGTTTTATTATTATTATTATTTTTTTTTAACAGTATTTTTTTTTTTAAAGATTTATTTATTTATTTGTACAGAACTGGGGTACAGGCCAGAGATGCGGAGGGTGAGAGAATTCACCAGAGACAGAGCGGGGAGCAGAACAGGCAGATCGACGAAGTACACTGCTAAGGGGAGCAGCGGGCGGGTCAGGAGAGGTCTGCCACGCCATGTGGTCGCCTCCGGGGCAGGCGGGAATCGAACTCATGAGGAAGTGGCTTTAGACCCTCAGTGCTGTGCTTTAACCCGCTGCGCCACCAGGGAGGGCCTATTATTTTTTTTATAAAGATTTACTTACGGACACAAGAACTGGGGTACAGGCCAGAGGTGCAGAAGGGTGAGAAGATTCACCAGAGACAGAGTGGGGAGCAAAACAGGCAGACTGACAAAGTACACTGCTGAGGGGAGCAGCAGGTGGGTCAGGAGAGGTCTGCCTGCCATGTGGGCCACCTCCCTGGGCAGGGATCAAACTCATGCTGCAGTAGCTGCCTATAGCTTCACAGTGCTATGCTGCTTTAACCCACTGCACCACCAGGGAGGGCCTGCTCCCAGCAAGTTTCAAGGCTACTCTCCCTATTCTTGGTGGTTTTTTTCCCCAGGGACCCCTATCTCTCCCTCACCATTCCAGGAGGGCCGATGCACCGGGTTATACCATCAGGAGCCAAGCACAGTCTGTTACCAGAACCTCATGCCTCTCCATATCTTCTGTGCCCCACAGAAGCTCCCTGCCAGACGTTCTTCTGGCAAAGAGTGTGCCCTTCCACAGGAAGGTGAAGTGGAGATTCACACTTTGGCTGAGTATGGAATGTGAACCATTAATCAGTTGTAAAGCAACAGCAAGTCTCCAAATTTAAACTTTCTAGTGCCTGGTAATGCCATGAATACCCTTCACCCAGCGGTGCCTTGAACTCTGCCTTGACCTTTGGAAGGAAATCTGATAGCTAGTAAATAAGACTCCAGAATCAGAGTAACATGAGCAGAGATGACCAGAACAAGGAGGAGGGAGAACTCCAGGTCAAGGACAGCCCAAGGCCCCAAAGGGCTAACCCCGGTGCCCCAGGCTAGCTTCTTTGTAAGTGCATCCACGTTTTGAGACTTAGGGAACCTCAGAGACTATTTTTTAAAGAAATTCAGTCCCTATGTGTCAGGGTATTGTTTTTTTGTTTTTGTATTTTTTTTAAAGATTTATTTACTTGTACATACAGAACTGGGGTACAGGCCAGAGGCTCAGGGGTGGCGAGAGGCTTCACCAGAGACAGAGTGGGGAACAGAACAGGCAGATCGACGAAGTACACTGCTGAGGGGAGCAGCGGGCGGGTCAGGAGAGGTCTGCCGCGCCATGTGGTCACCTCGGGGCAGGCGGGGATCGAACTCATGCGGAAGTGGCTTTAGATTCTCAGTGCTGTGCTTTAACCCGCTGCGCCACCAGGGAGGGCCCTGTTTTTGTATTTTTTAATCAAAGATGACTTCTTGCCTTTGGTTATGAGAAAGAACAGTGGGCAAACACAAGAAAAATGACAACTTTAGCTCTAGGCTCTGTTGCCCACCACCAACTCTAAAATTCCACTCCTTCAACATTCAAAGGCAAGGGCATTTTGCATCAATAGTCTTCATCTGAAACCCTCAGAGAAACTTATTTCTCCCACATGAAACTAGTTGCTAGTACCTCTAACTTATTAAAAAAAAAAAAAAATACTCCTTGTAAAATTCAAACTTAGCAAATAAAGCTCAAGGCCTCTTAGCTCGCCAACCACTCCTGGCCCGGTGGCCAGGGGGCCATGGTATACCAGTAGACTTCCTCTTACGTCCTGTGCAGCCTGTGCAGGCACACACAGTTCTGTGGGCGCATTTAGGCAGCAGCCTGCGACACGCCCCCCTCAGAATCTCTGCGTTAGTAGGCAATGCACTCAAATGCCGCATGGGCCAGGACTTGGCTGTTCCCCTTTCAGAAGCAACTAAGTCACCTCCATTTCTGTTTTACATTACACCTCATGCTCCAAAGCACGTCTCTGAAAATGCCTCTGTAAATAAGTGTCTTTGCATACATGGATGGATGTTCTTTAGGCAGTCGTGGAGAGATCAAATTATTAGTCCTGCTTGTTTAAATTTTTAAAATATTGCCATACTGCCTACACCAATTTCCATAAACATGTGTCAATAAAGTGACAATATCCAGAATGTATAGACAACTCCCATGAATAAAAATAAAATAATGAAAAAAGTTGAAGTAGACAAAGGGTATGGAGAGGAGACTCACAGAAGACAGGTCTGTAGCCTCACTAGGAATCAGCCATAGGAAAGAAAATTTAAAATCTATGAGATTGTCAAGGTGGTGCCATTATGATCTGAAAGCAAGTGCTGACTAGGTATAGGGGATGGTGCTCTCATGTCCTGCTTGCGGTGCGCAGGCACGCTCCCGCTCTCCATGTATTCATTAGTTTAATCCCCACTGTGACCTTGAGCGAGGCCTATTATAGCTGCTGTCATCTTACTGAGGAGAAAACTGGGACAGAGGACCAAGTGACTTATATATGGTCACTGGCTTGAAAGCAGCTTTTAATTTGTCATATATTCTGTAGTTTCTTCTAGTATCTACACAATTTTGTTTTTATCTTTAATCTACTTGAAATTTATTTTTGTGCATGGGATGAAGTTAGGATATAACTTTATTATGTCCACAGGAACTGTGTAGAGTATGATCATCTGCCCAGGCTTAAGTGCCTGCAGTCCCACCTAAGCATCTCCCCTATTCCAGTGGCCAAAAGGGGCTCTTCCTGGGTCTTCAGGCCTTGGTGTCCCACCCTGCAGCATGGAGGGGCTGGGAGTGCCATCCTGTGTGCCCGTGCAGGACAGCCAGACACAGAGGTGGTGACTCAGCTGGCCAGCAGGTCCCGCAGATCACTGTTGTGGGGCAGCAGGTCACACGCTAGCCGTGCCTTCCGGTCCCGGACAGCTTTGAGGGCCGGGCTGTGCTGTAACAGGAGATAGCAGATGTCCACGTGACCCTTCTCAGCAGCCTGTGGAGAGAGAGAGCCCTGAATCAAAATCAGACCCCTGGGCCCTCCCTGGTGGCGCAGCGGGCTAAGGCACAGCACTAAGAAGCTTAAGCCACTTCCGCATGAGTTCGATTCCCGCCTGCCCCGGAGGTGACCACATGGTGTGGCAGACCTCTCCTGACCCGCCC